CTACAGAGAGGTCCATGCTAGGGATGTGGAAGCTGAGGCTGAAGGACTTACTCATCTAACTGTGGGTCTAGGTGGGAAGATGTCTAAAAATACAAACAACAATAAGTGTTGGTGAGGATGTGGAGGAAAGGCACACTCATACACTGCTGGAGGGCAGCAATGGTGCAGCCAATATGGAAAGCAGTATGGAGGTTCCTTGGGAAACTGGGAATGGAACCACCATTTGACCCAGCTATCCCTCTCCTCAGTCTATACCCAAAAGACTTAAAAACAGCATACTACAGGGATACAGCCATATCAATGTTTATAGCAGCACAATTCATAATAGCTAAACTGTGGAACCAACCTAGATGCCCTTCAATAGATGTATGGATAAAAAAAAATGTGGCATATATACACAATGGAATATTACTCAGCAATAAAAGAAAATAAAATCATGGCATTTTCAAGTAAATGGATGGAATTAGAGAAGATAATGCTAAGTGAAGTTAGCCAATCCCAAAAAAACAAATGTCAAATGTTTTTGATGTAAGGAAGCTGACTCATAGTGGGATAGGGAGGGGGAGCATGGGAGGAATCCACAAACTCTAGATAGGGTAGAGGGGTTGGAGAGGAAGGGAAGGGGCATGGGGTTAGAAATGATGGTGGTATGTGATGGACATTATTATCCAAAGTATATGTCTGAAGACACAAATTGATGTGAATATTTCTTTATATACAACCAGAGATATGAAAAATTATGCTCTACATGTGTCATAAGAATTTTAATGCATTCCACTGTCATATATAAATTTAAAAAATAATTTTAAAAAGCAATAAAAACATCCTTGTAAGCCCAAGTTGAGGCAGGAGGATTGCAGATTTGAAGCCAGCCTCAGCAATTTAGAGAGGCCCTCAGCAACTTACAGAGAGACCATGTCTCAACATAAAAAATAAAAAGGGATGGGGATGTGGCCCAGTGGTTGAGTGTCCCCCAGTTCAATCCCCAATACCAAAACAAAACAAAACAAAAATATTTAAAAAAAAAAAAAAAAAAAACCTTTCTGTCCTCACAATTTAAGATTAAGGCCATTTTTAGCATTTTTTTATTTGGGGGAGCTGTGTACCAGGGATTGAATTCAGAGGCACTCAGCCACTGAGCCACATCCCCAGCCCTATTTTGTACTTTATTTAGAGACAGGGTCTCACTGAGTTGCTTAGCCCCTCACTTTTGCTGAGGCTGGTTTTGAACTCAAGATCCTCCTGTCTCAGCCTCCCAAGTCCCAAGCCTCTGGATTACAGGCATGAGCCATCGCACCTGGCTTAAGAACATTTTTAAACCAAAGTGTTATATCTATTTTTTTTTTTACTCAAGCTTGCCATAAATAAGTTATAGGCTATCAAATTTGAAGTGTTTTCTTGATTGCAGTCTAAAATTTTGAGAATGCTAATGTTTGTGTCTCTTCCCTCCCCCCTCCCCTTCCTGTACTGGGGATTGCACCCAGGGCTTCCCATTTGACACCAAGCTATACCCACAACCCTCTTATCTCATTCTTTTGGCCATAAAACTCTTAATAAATATAGTATTGATTGCAAAAGGCATGATCTTAGCAGAGAGAAATTTCCTCCCAAACTAGAATAATACATTTTTATGCTGCAGAGTTAAATTTGTGTAATGAAAGATAAAAGTACTTGATCCAGCCTGACACAGTGGTGGGTGTCTGTAGTTCCAGCTATTGGGAGGCTGAAGCAGAAGGATCACTTGAGCCCATGAGTTTGAGGCCAGCCTGGGCAACATAGTCAGATCCCATCTCAAAAGAAAAAGAATGCCTGATATAAAATGGTTTTTATTCATAATTTTTGTTATACATTCTATCCATTAGCTATTATTATAATAACCCTGCTTCACAAGTCATTCTGGTACTACTCAATAGACCTTGGACTGGGGTTGAGTGACTTAAACTTGGATTGTCTCTGACATGAAGATTGAGTTCAAGTCTTCTCCCCATGATTCCCATTCCTTTATAGGCTAGCTGGGACATGTCCTTCTCATGCTAAAGCAGTACTTCAAGAGGTCAAAGCTCACCATACAAGCCCATTTCCAAACTTTGCTACTCTTAGGCCTATTTACTTCCTATTTTCTTGATTGCAGTCAAAGAAAACATCAGCAGGACAAGGAAAAAAATTTCTCCCGTAGTGGGAGGGGAGGGGAATGAATATTTGCAGAACAATTTTATAAACTACCATTTAAATTGAATATGCTAATCACCATAGTGCACTCCTGTAACCCCAGGTACTGGGGAGGCTAAGGCAGGAGGATTGCCAGCCTTGGTAATTTAGTGAGACTCTGTCTCAATAAAAAATTAAAGGGCTGGGGATGTAGATCAGTAATAGAGCAACCCTGACACTGCAAAAAAATTTTTTAAATTAATTAATTAAATGCCATATGGTTATTCATTTTGCCCAATGTATGTGTCTGTATGGGTCAGACCTACTAACATGGCTTAAACCAAGAGTGATGATTAGTCTGTTAATGCAAAACACATCAGGGAAATAATCTATTTATGTAGGAGCAGAGATTTCTGTCCCAGAAATTTGAGAATAAGACAAAGCCCACAATGTCTTTGCAGGAATTTCTAAGGCATGTCACCAAACTCCTCTGACCCAATTTCTGAAACCTGGTCGGAGTCTATTTGCGCCTTGCAGTGATTTACAGTCCAAAGATCTTGAGTAATTCATTGTGCAAATATCTAGTAAAACGAGGCTTTTAAGACCCAGCATTTAAAATAAGGACATGTAACCAATGCTAATATATTAAAATCTAATTAATTTCATACTAGTTTATTTAAATATCGTGTAAGTTCAAATAATTGTTAGTATTTTATCACCTGGCGGTTGATTCATATTAGAAACGCTAGTGTAACAAACTTACTCACCTCTGTATTCGTTTTGTTTTTCTTTTGTTTTGGTGCTGGGGGCCTTGTGTGTTAAGCTGTAAACTACCAACCCCTGGGCTACATCCCCAGCCCTCTGGTTTCTTAGCTTAGCACAGTGCTGGTAAATATGTCTTGTGGGGCAAATCTGGCCCACTGCTTGTTTTTATAAATAAAGTTTTATTGGAATCTAGCTGTGCCTGTTCGTTTATATGTTGTCAATGACTGCTTTTACTCTATAAAGGAGGCTTGAGAATTGGCAACAGAAAAGATAAGACCAAGCCAGGGTGGACATAAGTTAAATTATAAAAACTTAAGATTAAAGGAGAAAAAAGTAGTTTAGCAGTTCATGCTGCCTTCTTCTTTTTTTAGGGGTGGGGGTACCAGGGATGGAACTCAGAGGCACTCAACCACTGAGCCACATCCCCAGCCCTATTTTATATTTTATTTAGAGACACATTCTCACTCAGTTGCTTAGCGCCTCACCATTGCTGAGGCTGGCTTTGAACTTGCGATTCTCCTGCTGGGATTAAAGGCGTGCATCACCACGCCTGGCCCATACTGCCTACTTCTAAGAGAACCTTTTGTTCTTCATAACTAGATAACATTATGTCACTGATTCATAAGGAGTTTAAATTAGTTCTATGGGTTAGGACACCAGAATTATTAGTGTTCATTTTCATCTAAGATATTTATTCTCTTAACATTCTTGGTCCTATTGAAACATTTCAGTATTCAAAAATACTGCAATGATGATACTCAAGAGAAAAGCCATTATCATGTGTATGCTGGTCATTATGATCTGTGTGGTACAATTTTTTAAACTATCATGTCCTTCAAAAACAAAACAAAACAAACAAAAAAGACAAGACCACAAAGCCTAAATATTCACTATTTGACACACAGTAAAGTTTCTCAGTCCTGAATTAATGTAGTATGAGACTGTTGGAATTTTGGAATTTGGGTTATTCACACAGGTCTACGGGTCTCAGATGAATATTATTCTTGAGTTATCCTTAGGGAAAATTATTTGTTAAAGAAATCAGTGATGTATACAAATAATGCATGCAGTTTTGCCTAAAAAAATAATCTTTTAATATTTCATGTTCTAAGCACTCATTTCTAAAACAGTTATAATACCAGTTATAAATTCATATGGGCTGGGAGTGTAACTCAGTGGTAGAGTGCATGCCCAATATGTGAGGTAAGACCCTGGGTTCAATCCGCAGCACTGGGGGGGGGAAATATATATATATATATATATCTTCTTCTTAAAGTAGACCCTGAGAAATTGAAATATTCTTTATTAGCCTTTAAGGAGATGACTTTACTTGTAATACATTGAAAGTCATTACTTCAAACTTTTCACTAAGGCCATCCCAGCTCTATTTACCTTATCATGTCTGGATTAGTGCAGCTTTATTAAATTGTGTTCCTTCAGAACAACAGCACCTGATCTCTTCTTTGAGGTCAGATAGAAGAAAACCTTGCATTTTTCCAGATATCCATTCTTGGACAACTTTAAGAAGAAAGAAACACTAGCTCCCCATGAGATGTGCAGGGAAAATGCATATAGATTTAAAAGTGAGAGTAAACTCTTAAAAGTGACGATACACTCTCAGACCTTTCCAGGGGGTGTGTGGAATTGAGAACAGGGAATTATCTGGAGTCATTTCTACTGAGTGTTGACGTAGTTGTGTATGCTTCTGTACTGGGATTCATTTTAAGGCCCATGTGAGACCTCAGTATGAGGCCTGGACATTGGAGGAGTTCATTCCAACCCCTTCTGCAACATCTGGGGTAGGAACAGAATCTGTAAAATTCAGGATTTTTAAAAAATTGTACTATACTGATCATCACGTTTTTGAATAATGAAGTCCAAAATTGGAGATTAGATAAAAACAGAAGAGGTGCTAACTGACCACACTTCCAGAAGAAAGCTTTCCCAGGAACCCCCAGGTAGGTAAGTGGCCACGGGTCACCATCTGTTTCCTTTCATACAGGCTTGGAATCTACCAAAGGACATCTATGTGTCTTTCCATGTCTGCTGAATCTACTTGGCTCAAATGGACTTATTTTTTTCCCCAGGGGTCGGATGGCGAAGTGTGCTGCTAACAGGAGATGAGACAGGCTCAGGTGCCCCAGAAACATCCAGCCCAGACATGACTCTGAAGGTAAGGGATCTTTCTCAGGTGGATCCTCCAAGGGTACCCTTAGAGCGATGAAGGCCTCTGCAGGCTTCTCTGGGGCAGAACGAGCCTCACCCTCCACCTGCTGGGTTCTCTGTCTCTATTCACTGATGTCTCTCAGTGAGACACCCGGACATAGAATTTCCTGAATTCTGGTACTAGATTGGGAAACCACTTGAATGCCAGAATCTAAGACACGATTTCCAATGGGCCCGTTGTGGGGTCTTCAGTGAACATCGGTCTGTACGTAGGCTATTTGCAATTGGTAACCCCGGTTGGGACAGTGAAGCAAATCTGAAAATTCTGAGCTGAGAAATCAGGCCCCACTGTGCATTATGAAGAAAGGTCAGAGAGGCATGAAGTAACTTTGATCTCGACTCAAGATTTCCAGTGATGTCAGCAGGAAGGCAGCTCGTGGGCCATTCCAGCTAGAATGCTAATGTCCAAAGGTTTGCAAAATGACTCATCTGGGAATCAACTATTAATTATCACTGCTCAAGTTAAATGCTTGAAATTGGTAACCATTGCCTAGATTAAGGAATCCCTAGTAAAAGTTATCAGAGCCTGGACCACTTCCCTTCTATTACTGGTTTCAACATAAAAGAGTGGGCCTCCTCTATGGAATTCTGTGTTTTAGTAAACAAAGTCCGGGGGTGGGAGAACTTTCTCACATCTTTGTTTGAATGATTAGAATTTTAATATATGCGACTTCTGAATATTTCTTTGAAAAACAGAAAGTAATGTCCCTTTTGAAATTGGGATAGAACAGATGTTTCTCTCCTGGAATTATTAGAAATTATACAAGATAGATTAATTTAAGTTTTTTTTTTTTTGTAACATGCAGGCTGAACTAGTAATGTTATCTATGTTAGAAAGTTCAAGGCAGAAATTAAATGTGAGATTAAATGAAAAACAGGACAGTAGCCTGATTGGTCAAAAAGGCAACTAACCTACTTAACAACCATCCATGCTGATAATTCATTTTGCCTGTCATTGTGTTTAGCAGGGTTTGCAGTATTATAAGTTGCAATTGTATATTGGTGCTGTGTTGACTGTTAAGGCAAATCCTGACTAGTTTGAGTCTAGGATTGGTGTTGGGCAAAAGGCAGATGGGTGCCAACAGTGAAACCCGATGAGTTTAGATTTGCTATCTCAGAATCTGTTATCTTTTTGAGAATTTTTTTCAGAGGGTGCTGAGGATTCAAACCAATGATCTTGTGTACCCTTAGAGCGATAGAGGCCTATGCAGCCTTCTCTGGGGCAGAAGGAGCCTCACCTCCACCTGCTGGGGTTCTCTGTCTCTATTCACTGATATCTTTCAGTGAGACACCCAGGTATAGAATTTCCTGAATTCTGGTACTGGATTGGGAGGCAAGCACTCTTCTTGGGCTATATCTCCAGCCCAAGAATTGGTTTTTGTGAGATGTGTTTCTGGTATAGCTGCAGATGTGGTATGTATGGGTGGACAAATAAATGATCAGAAAGATGGGAGTTGGTTTTTATAAAAGCAAATGATACCAGGTGTGGAGATGCACACCTGTAATCCCAGCTACTTGGGAGACAGAAGCAGGAGAATCTCAAGTTCAAAGCTAGCCTTGGTGACTTAGCAAGACCCTTAGTAATTTAGCAAGACCCTATCTCAGAATAAAAAAATAAAAAGAACTGGGGCTATATAGCTCAAAGTTGGAGCATTTGCCTAGAATGTGTGAGGCCCTGGGTTCAATCCCCAGCACTGTGAGCCCCAACAAATAACAACAACAAAACATTAATAGCAATAGAACTTGGTTTATCAGGACTGGGGATATAGCTCAGTTGGTAGAATACTTGCTTCACATGCACAAGGCCCTGGGTTCAATCCCAGCACCACAAAAAAAAAAAAGAAAGAAAGAAAGAAAAAAAGAACTTGATTTATCGACACTTCTCAAGGGGAAGGAATATTCACAGAAATTATACCTTTACTTCTTCCACTTTGATCTTCTTCTGATAGACATATCTATTTTAATGCTAACAATTATTCTTTCTGAAAAAATTGTACTTTTTTGGGGGCTTTGTTCTTATTTTTTTTAAATCATGATCATCTGAGTCAGGTGAGGTAGCGCATGCCTGTAATTCCAGTGATTCTGGAAGCTGAGGCAGGAGGATCTCAAGTTCTAGGACAGCCTGGGAAACTCAGGAAGACCCTCTTTTTTTTTTTTTTTTTGGTAGTAGTAGTAGGGATTGAACCCAGGGGCACTTAACCACTGAGCCACATCCCACCCCTTTTTATTTTTTATTTGAGACAGGGTTTCACTAAATTGCTTAGGATCTTGCTAAGTTGCTGAGTCTGGACTCAAATTTGTGATCTGCTACTGCCTCCTGAGTCACTGGGATTAGAGTCTTGTGCCCCATTTCTAGCTAATTCTGTCTCAAAATAAGCTAAAAAGAGCTGGAGGTATATAACTCAGTGCCCCTGGGTTTAATCCCCACACCAAACCAAACCAAATAAACAAAAATATCATAATTAACTGAATGTAGTTTTAGCTACTAACCTGTAGTGGTTTTTTTTAATATTTATTTTTCCGTTTTTCGGTGGACAGAACATCTTTATTTTCTTTTTATGTGGTGCTGAGGATCGAACCCAGCGCCCCATGCATGCCAGGCAAGCACGTTACTGCTTGAGCCACATCCCCAGCCCCTACCTGTAGTGTTTTAGTACTATGTTTTATTTTGAAATAGCAAAGTCATGCTTCTAAAAGTATACACAATGTAGATAAGTGAATTCTTAAGCAAACCTGTCATTCTAAGGAATATTAATAATAAGAGTATATATATTATTTTTTAGTTGTTGATTAACTTTTATTTTATTCATTTATTTATATGTAGTACTGAGAATCAAACCCAGTGCCTCACACATATGAAGCAAGCACTCTAACACTGAGCCACAACCCTGGCACAAGAGTAGTTATATTTAAAACACCTTCTAAACACATTGAAGTAAGTAGGCACACCACATGGGCCTGCCTGACTTTGTTTTTTGAGGTGCTGGGGTCCAATTCAGGGCCTTGCAAGCATTTGGCTACTGAGCTACACTGCCGGCTGCTTGACAGTTTTAAATGATTCAGCTTAGTGGGTTGAATTGCAAAACACCACTCCCCCACCCCCAAAAAGATATGTCCAAGTCCTAACTCCTGGTACCTATGAATGTGACCTTATTTGGAAAAACAATCTTTGCAGATATAATTAAGAATCTTGAGATGAGATCACTCCACATTAACTGGGTGATGTTAAATCTAATGACTTGTGCCCTAATAAAATAGAAGGAAGTGGATATGCGGGAAAAGGCCTTGTAAGGAGACAGAGACAGAGATTGTAATTCTGCAGCCCAAGCCTAAAACCCAACCGAGGCCTGGGGGTGTCAGTCAGTGTCAGGGAGCTTGCTCAGTGCATGTAGGGCCCTCCCCCAAATGAACAAACAAATGGAGTCACCAGTAGCCAGAAGAGGCAAGGAAGAAGTCTCCAATAGACCTCTTGAGGGAACGTAGCTCCGCTCATACTCTGAACTGTTGGCTTCCAGAACTGTGAGAAATAAATTTCTGTTGTGTCAAGTCACTAAGTTTGTGCCACTTAGTTATGGCTGCACTAGGAGATTAATACTAGGACTTTTCCAAGAGTCACTCCAACTTTTTTGTGTGTTTGTTTCAGTTGCTATCTATATATTTTGAAGTGTTGGGAACAGAACCCAAGCCTTGTCCATGCGCTCTACCACTGAGCACCACCCTGTCCTCACCTACTCTTTTGATTACTAAGGCCATGGAGGTTGGTGAACCAATATTCTGCAGATTCCTCTCTACTACCTGATTTCACCCTGCTCACCCTTTACAAAGCTAATTTTACCTGTTCTTGTTTTAGGAGCACCAGTAGTCTTTTTCAGTTTGTATCATCACCACTCACTAGAAGAAAAAGGTAGTCTTATTTCAGGGCAACTTCTGTATTGTATCTTGTTCTGTTTTGCTGCTTGTCCAGACACTGATGAACTAACTAATGAAAAAATAAAAGGCTGGATCAGTATTTCGTTAAACTTGCCAGACTGTGAAATCACTTGCAGTGAAAGAAGGAAAGAAAGAAGTGCAGTAGGTAGAGTGCTTGCCTCACCTGCACAACGCCCTGGGTTCAATCCCCAGCACCACCAAAAAAAAAAAAAAAAAAAAAAAGAAAGAAAATTTTCCGGGATCCTTTCAACAGAAAATCTGAGCCTAAGAATTAGCACCTTTTGTGGGGGAATCAGGGCTGAGGATCACCCCAGGGCCTCCCTCATATTAGGCAAGTGTTACTGCTGAGCTCCATCCCCAGCCCCCAAAATTAGCTTTTTTTTTTTTTTTGGACAAAGAGTACCAGGGATTGAACCCAGAAGTACTTCACCACTACACCACACCCGCAGCCCTTTTTATTTATCAATTTTTATTTTCAGACAGGGTCACACTAAATTGTTTAGGCTCTGACTAAATTGCTAAGGCTGGCTTTGAAATTGTGATTCTCCTGCCTCAGCCTCTGAAGTGTTGCTGGCATTATAGGCGAGTGCTACTGCACCCAGCTAAGAATTAGCATTCTCAAATGCTAAGTGCCTCTATAGTTCCAGCTACTTAGGAGGCTGAGGCAGAAGAATCACTTCATCACAGAAGCTTGAGACCAGACTATGCAATATAGCAAGACCTCATCACAAGAAAGAGAGAGAGAGAGAGAGAGAGAGAGAGAGAGAGAGAGAGAGAGAGAGAGAAGGGAAGGAGGAAAGGCGAGTTAGCATTTTTTCTAAGGCTTGATTGCTTCTGGAAATCCTTGCCTTAGCATCCTGCTGACCTTGCCTCTCTAGTTGTCCACTTTGTTACCAGAGTCAGGATATTTTGAGTCCCCCAACTCCAGCACCAGGATGACATGCAAATTCCTGAAACATTCCATATTTAAAACAAAAGACAAGGGCTGGGGTGTAGCTCAGCGGTAGGGTAACTTGC